GCTTCACAATAAAGAATTTGAAATAATTAAAACCATAGTTTAGTCATGTTATACGAAGACTTGTGGTTACAGAATAAAAACTAAGTGAATTATTTTGGCCAATATTTATTCACGGATGCAAAACTTTAGACTTTAAAGCAGAATAACGTAATTCGTTTAAACACATGGGGAAAAAAGAACGTTATATAGGAGATTTAATGATTCAGCGAGAGTGGAAACAGCACATTACCAAATAAGAACAAATACTAAAATTGTGATTTTATTCGAATATATAAGCTTGTTAACCCAAATAAAATTTTAGGAAATTCTTTGGTTTAGCTATGTAGCACGACAAATACTCCAATAAATATTAAGTATATGAACTTTGAATTTTTTAATTCAGTAAATAATGGCGGTACACTTCCGACCCCGTTGAGTTAATAAGGTAAGGAGTTTCTTAAAACGGATTTGTGTCAATGACTAGAATTTGTGAATTTGTGTCAAGCTATATTTTTACGAAATACCATAGAGGATTGATGAAAAAAATATTGCCTTTGCATACCAATAGCCTATGTTGTCTGTGCGGAAGTCTACAGTATCACTTTCACAGAAAATTATTAAAATCAAGCAAAATATGTGCCCTCTAGGTAAGGGGCGTATACAGAAACTCACTAAAAAAGATTTTTATGAAGTTCAAAGTTGTTATGAAAACATTTTACGACAATAAACTCCATTTTAGATTACTTCTTTGGATTTCTCCATTGTATACTCTATTGCTGTTTCAAGAATTTTTTTTTTTTTGTTGGTATTACAGAATCATTTCAATAAATAGAGCTGGAGAGCAAAATCATAACAACACATAACAAATAAAAAAATTCGGAATCAATTAAAATATAATTCATTTCAGTGACATAAAACTTGGAATTTATAGTTTGGAATAATGTTTATAGTTTAGAGCAAAAAATTCTAAAATAGAGCACTTTATAGCTATTGATCGGTGTATAACACATAGCTTCAGTTCAATGAATTAGTAATTTTAATATGATTGAATAATTGGAAAATAATCTGATGTTCATAGTTCTAAAGCAAATATTGCTGTATGGCAAGCGTTTCTAGATCAAACTACTTATAGGTAAGTATATAAAATTTGAATCGATATTATTATTATTGTTGCTATGGGATGTGGCTCTACGACCGTCGGATCTATTGTGCCCCTTTATGGGTTTAGACTAAGTCTCTAAGCGCTATTGTATTGATAGAAATAAATATAAAACCTACTCTATGGTATATAGTTTTATTGCCTCTTCCGTAAGGGTATACATTCACAGGTGTCTATTCAGTATGTGTATAAGCGCAGGATGCACTCACAGTACATATATGGCTGATTCTTCATTCTCTTAGCAGAATCCGTATATATACCAAATCTCGTAAAGTGGTATTTTAGTTTACAGTGCAATATTAAGATTTTTCTAATGATCTTAAGTTTTTCTTTTGATAGGTTCATATAATTTTGGACCTATCTCCTATTGTTATAGTTTCTAATAAGTGATTTGAATTGTGTTGATCTTGGTATATTATTTCAGCAATTCTTTTTGTTCTGGTTCTCTTTTATTTTTATCAGAGAAAGGAGAGTACTGTGTTCTAATCCACAGATACAAGGTATATTTTTTGATTAAATTATTGATTGACTATATATTTGGAAATTTTTATCAAAACTTTATAATTATCTTTCTTAATTAGGTAAAATAATGCAAATCTTATTTAATAGGTCGTTTATTTTTTTAATTCCTTAAAACTCAGTTGATACTCAACAATTGGCAGTACATTTCAAAGCAATAGGATTGGAACGTAAAGACATTGTTTAATAAATAGGTGTATATTTTTTTTTATATAATAAAGTAATTACAAAAGCATTGAAAATATATTCTGTTCTTATCATGAAAGTAAATAATGTGTCCTCGGCGTTGTTAAATTGATAGTTTATAAATGAAATCGTTAGTTTGGTTCCGATCTATTGTGTCACCTCACAAAGTTGTCTATAGAATTTTGATTTACTATAATTTATTTTTAATAATGTATTGTATGTACATATATATGTAACATAATTGATTTTAAATTCGGTATATAGTTGTTAGCATTAAATTTACAACCGCTTTTTTTTTGGTTTCCTATGAAATTATTATATTTTGTTGAAGTCTTCCAGTTTTAAATAAGATAAAATTATTTGTTGCTGATAAAAGTGAAACTTGTGACACATTTGAGTATACAAATATATGTGTAGGTAGACTCATCAATTAGCTTTAAGACAGTCGGTAGTACATTGAAGAAACAGTTGTAAAGTAGAGTTTTCTTGAGGTGGTCAACAACGGTTCCAACAGTGCAATTTTATTCTAAGGAAATTTTTTAAAGAAATATATTCGCGAAATGTTCCTTAAAATGAGTGGGGGCCTTATGGCAGTCTTTCTGCTTGTGTTCTTGGCAGTGAATTTTGAAAGTGTTAATTCAAGTAAGATTGATTAATGCAAAAAATAAAATTTATATTAAAAAATTAAATGCGATTTAAAATAAAAAAAAAAAAAATCCTAATATTACACAAAAACTTATGTTATCTTAAAATGTTTTAAAAATTATATAGAATATTATACTGTGAAAATAATGAACTAAAAAAATATTAATAATTAATATACCATATAACAAACAATTAAATATATAATAATAAAATAAATTTTTTTATTATTTAATAAGAATTGTTGGGAGAATTTTAAAATGTTAATAATACTTTATTGATTAGAAAGATGGTGAAATTTATTTTTGGAATGTGAATTAGAAATATGTTTGATACATATTTAATTCCCAGGATAATATTACTTTTTAAAATTTATGAATTTCTTTAAATATATAGAATATTCTGCATATATAGTGTTCTAATTTTCATTTTATTCATTGACAATTTTTATGATTATAAAAACATATTTAATTAAACATATTTGAGACATCATAATCATCCGTGACTATACAGTCCATGTAGGACCTAAGCCTGTTTAACAGTATATTTGACACATTTAATACTTTTATTGTTGTAAAAATATTAAATATTTTTTATATTTTATTTTATATTAATATTATAGAGAGTAAAAGTGCTCAGGTGCACTGACTCAACTAGCCTCAACATAATTATATTAATATATTAATATATAATTTTAATATATTTATATAATATATTTTTATTTTTTTTATAATTATAATAAGTTTTGTTAAATTACTATTTTATTTTTAAGTGCATACTACCCTATGAGTTAAAGGTTTTAACAAGTTACTTTCAACCATTTCTAATTAGTTCTACAGCTCGTTAAACGATTTGCCAGTCTAGGTTCGAACAGTTGTCCTTTAAGTTGTTGGTGCTCAGCAGCGATCTATAATATTCTGTTGGTTCATTTTTTGCATTCATGTCTTATTTATTCATATTTCACTTCCTCAACTCAGTATTTATATTGATGTCATTTAATAGTCACCATTAGTTCTTTGTAAGATATAGTCCTCTGCCTCATAATCAAGAAAAAAAACAAAACATTAGTGTATACAGTAGAAATATGAATGAAAAATATTAGTGTGATAAATATGAGTGATAAATGAAATAGTATATAATTGTTGACTTGGTATATATTACATTAGGAAGAAGTAACAGGAGTTAATGCATACCATATCTACCTATCGGATCAATAAACTAATGCCATACGTTTTGAGCTTTTCGATTTCAATTTATACAGAGACTTATCGTGAAATTAGATAGCTAAGTGAAAGAAATTTGATTACTGTATCATATAACACCCACATGTTATATTTTTTTTACTTTTACTTTACTTTTTTATTTTTACTAATCCATAGTTTTTGTACATATAGAGCAGCGAATGTGACAAAAAAGATAATTATAATTAAAAAAAAATATGAGGAAATAAAATATTTTATAAAAAACAAAAATAATATATAAATATAATAAAAAAATAAAAACATAATTTAGTGATTTTTTTAAGTTTATAGGTTTCTTTTTAATTTATTTTGTTTCGTGCTTGAACACCTTTATTATAGGTTCATTTCGCAAATTTTATTTAATATACTGATATATATTTTAGAGATAAATTAAGAATAATTGAAAATTACTCAAAAAAAAAAACTATTAATGTTAAAATATATGTATGTATATCAAAACACTGGCTTTTTTTTCCATCAAAAAATAAGTATTTAATCAACTTATGAAATTCATTTTAATCAATTCTCTTCAAAACTGCGGTCTTCCAATCCGCTGTAATCTGCAAAATAACTATCAGAGTGTTATAAAATTTTGTCATTATTCGATTTTTTAAGATGATTTCCTAAGACCACTGATGATGAATAGTTGGCAATACTCGAAAAGGCATTGTATGGTCAGCCAAATTTCAATAAATTAAATACATTTTTGTCCTTGTCTTTTCTTTGCTATTTGAATACGTCTAACTTTTGAATGGTTTCTTTTCGTCACTTTTGGCAAGAAAAAATTAACATTAAATAATATTATTTACTTTATAAAGGCTTTCAGTTCTTCCCTCTAATGCAAGTAGTGAAGATTACTTAATTTGATATCTAACGGTTTAGGGTTTGTAAAGATTAGGTGGGGAGTTTATACATATTCTTTCAGCTTTTTTATCTATTTATTCCAATTGTTTAATGTTTTACATATATATTAATTATTTATTTATATACACTTTGCTTATGCGTAAAGATCAATTACGGTAATCATATATGGTACCTTAATAAACTGAGGACTAATATTATTCCCTAGAAAATTTATTTTTTCTATCATAATTCTGTTATCTGTTCGCTTTTAAACAAATAATTTTTATTAAGAATTTTAATGAATAATAAATAAAATTATCTATTTTATATTGTTTGCAGTAAATATAAATTTATTTTCAAATTATTACACTAACATTTCGGTATAAATAAAATGCGTAATTCAAAACATAAAATAAATCATTTGTGTCAATGAGATATGATATTTTATACATTTTTATCTTTAATCAAAAATTAAAAATAAATATCTTTAAATAAATATAATAAAATTATATGAATTTGTTTATTTCATATAAAAAACTAAAACCTGATTCAGTTTATAGTTGCAAATGAAATTGTTTTTTACGGAAGATTTTACCTGATAAACTAAAGTATCAAATTAACATAACCAACCAATCCTATAAAATTTTTGGAGGGACTAACTTTAATAATAAAATATATAACAACAACAATAAAAAGAAACTTTTTCCTTATCTAAAATTATGGAACATTGAGAACCATATATATTCTTCATCCCCCAAAAAGTTTATCTGATTAACGTTTTTGATTAAATGAAAGATATTTTAGTTCATCAATAGACGGCGCCATCAAAATTTATTACGGGTAGCAAAGTATTACTTAATACTTCTATTACTTAATTTTGTAGATGGCAGATATTATAGTTTTTAAATTAATTTATTACATTGAAGATAATTATTTTTGTCAATAATATTTTATAATTAATTTACTATTACGATCAAATATTAATAAAATCGATAATAAAACTTTGTTATATCATAAATTCATTATTTAATTTTAATGCGTTTCGAGGTGTTTGTTCAGAGCACTGTTGAATCATGTGATGATTTGTTAATAATAGATTAGTTATAGGGAAGATACAATTTATTCATATATAAAAAATTTTTAACTAGAAATTATATGACTTAAGAAAAAAAAAACCATTTCGTTTAGTAAAGTAATTAATAGTGTCAAATCATAAAACAATTTTTGTTGAGGACTTAATCTGATCATGATTTGGATATTTGGGAACATCTATTGATTTAATTGTTCGTATATAGTTATTGGGCTACAAGTATCGGGAACTGAATTTTAAAATTTGAACATTGAATCTTTGTGTTAACACAAAAAGCCAACTTTAACTATTGGCACTTTCGATTAGTAAATCTGGATTCAATTTAGATGCACTTTCGATGCGTCAAATTTTGTTGCCCAACTAAACATTTTTAGAGCAATCTAGGTATTTATATTTTTCATAAATATATATATTGAATTAAACCACACCTTATTTGTCAAGTTATGAAAAACAGCTGTTCATTTGAAGGTAATTTTGCTATTTTGGCAAAAAATCTATAGTGTTATAAATTAATCTCGAGTGTTATACATTTTGCTCGGGATTTATCAATCAAAAATAAAAATTGCACTAAAAGTAATTCTTGATTGAAAAACTTTCTCCAGATTTAATAAACGAAAACGGCATTGATTAGCGTAATTTTAATTTATAGGTTTATCAATTTAGCATTATCTAAAACAACTATATGGTTAACCCAATTATGGATTTTGTTTCTATTTAAAATCATTTGATAAAATTCTAAAATAATACCTACAAGTCTTTGAGATAAGGGTGGAACTGCAGAAACCTATAGACTCGCTAACGTGACATGCTCTGTTGAAAGCATATGTGTAAAGCATGATTTAGGCAAGGACCTAATGTGCCAAAGACGTAAAGTAATGATAAGTTTAGAATATGGGATGTGTGTTAAGTAATAGACCTTTTTCAAAAATTTTTTTTGTTATATTGGTACACCCTTTCTTGACATATGGTACAAATTTGAGCGCCATCTGTCAATTAGTATGTTTACAGCAGCTGTTAATGTGAGACTACCTCAAGTGCATTTAGCGATTTTTACTATAGAGAATTCTTGTTGTACGCGATTTTTTGATCAAAAACGGCATCACTGTCATCGTTCAGGCACCATATTCACCAGATCTGGCACCGTGCGACTTTTTCCTGTTCCCGAAACTCAATTTGCCCTTTCGTGCTAAGCGTTTTGAGTCGATTGAATCGGTAAAAGAGAATTCGCCGAAGGAACTAAGAGCCATACCTGCACGGGCCTTCGAAAAGTGTATGGAAGATTGGGTTAAGCGTTGACATATGTGTATCGCTTCAGAAGGAGCATTTTTTAAAGGATATAGAATAAATTTGGAATAAAATTTAAATTTGTGTGTTTTATTTACAAAATCAGGGTACATTTTGATTTTATTTTACATACTCGATGATGATGAAAAACTGAATAATAGATTTTGATATATGCATGTCAATATCATAAACCAAAAAATATATACAACTTCTATAGAGTAGCACAGGAACGTAGAAAGGTAAAGGTAGGTAGGTAGGTAGGTAAAGTGATGACTCTACTTACAGTTTCCATTTATGGTTCTGAATCATCTAAAGTACACCATAAAATCAACTCCACTTATAACTGATTAAACTTTAAGTTAAATGTAACTGCATAAAAATTTAAAAGTGGATTTTATGCAAACTATAAAGATAAGATTGTAGTCGGCAAGAACTTTACAAAGAAAGTACATTTAAGACCATTTTTTTTTTGACAACAAAAGGCATTTCTCAATGCATTTTTCCTTGTTTCTTCAGTTACCAAGGAAATATAATAACTTCCCATACTAAAAACAATCGGTAAAAATGCTAAAGTAAACATAAGGCAAATATATATAAAAAAGTTGATTAAAATATGTTTAATGAAGTATCACAATATTTAACTTTTGTTAGTGTAATCAACATCAAAGATAAATTGGCTCAAATAATGAGGTGCATTGAATAGTTACTCATACCTTGAAGTATTTATCACTATTTACTATTCATAATGCAAACATAAAATAAAATTAATATTTATTAAATTAATATTTTTTTCTTTATTTATAGTGAAATTAATAGATTCCCGCATGATGTTAGGTAGTGTGCCTACAAATACAACAAAGAACTACACGACTTATATGGCATCCATTAGATTGAAATCTGCAGAAGAGACACAAGGATTTGGTTATGGTTATATATGCGATGGTGTCATTATTTCAGAAAATCTTATATTAACAACAACAAGTTGTCTTCTAACGTAATATTACAAATCTATAAACACAAAAAATATTAATTAATTTATATACTATATATATATTACAGTAGCACCGATGCTAATGCAACGGTACGTGATGTTAGTGAATTTCTTGTTGTGGTCGGTAATATATATCGTTATAACAACGATTCTTCAACTCTAGAATTTGACGTTATTAATCTTTCTACACATGATGATTTTAATTCCACTTCTTTGGAGAATGATATTGCTATTTTAAAATTGAATGCTAGTATACCTTCGAACTGGGCTACAGCACAAACAATTCCATTGGGTACAGCCGAAGTTCCTGAGAGTACCCAATGTGTGGTTACCAGCTGGCAAAGTCAAATAGGACCGGTAATTTTTTTTTGTTTGTTAATACATTGAGTGTGTTTCTAAATATCTTAAACATTGCAGACAGTTCAATTGAAAACGCAAATTTCGTTGGAGTATGTCAATATAAAAAATAATACGGGTTGTTTCAGTAGTGGAACGCCTGTTGCAAGCTTAGGCAATGATTTACCAGGATCAATGATCTGTGCTGCTGCTGTTGATGGTGAGGGGCTTTTGAGCAATTGTGGTGGAGATAGCGGTGCTCCATTGGTTTGCGATGATGCACTTATCGGTATTGTGTCTTGGGGTAATGGCTGCAATTTTGTTGGACCGTTCCCTGGTGTATACACCAATGTAACATACTTCAATAGTTGGATTCAATACACAAGTTTAGAACTGAATGGCGGTGGAATTGAGGTCACAACCGAGCATGGAGATGGTGCTACAAGTGTTTTAAATCAGTCCAAATATGGTGTGCTGATAGTAATGCTTTTAGCATTATTTATGCGTAATTAAAGATACTTTTTGCATTTATTGCTATACAAAGTACAATATTTAATTTAATTTTTTATTCATAATATAAACAATATTTATTACTGAGTTTAGAAAAAAATATCAACGCAGAAAGATTAAAAAAATTAAAGAAAAACTTATAATAAATTTATAATACAGTTGTACAATATAATAGAAATACAAATAAAATGAAATAAAAACGACTTAAAAATCCTTCAAATTACTTAATTTTATGCAGAACTATTATTTTTTTGAGTACACCAAAACCTATCATCAAAAACCTTGTAGTATTAAAACAAAACAAAACAGTTAAAGCAGTGAAGATAGCTCTTGAACCAGAAATATTTACTTACTTAGTTGGCCATTACAGACGTGAGTCGTCCTTGGCCGCGGCGAGTAGCCTCCGCCAGCCAGCCTGATTAGTTGCTTGCTGTCGCCAGTTGGTAGTACCGAGCATCACCAAATAGTTGGTCACCTGGTCCTTCCACCCAAGATGCTAATGTCCTCTACAGAAATACAGGTAACACAAATAGTTCCCGCAATACGGTAGCAAAAGGGGCACTTAGGTGATTTACGAAGATACTTCCACCGATTTCGTTTCAAATCTGATCTAAATTGAACACCACAATGACCATTATATACATTTTCTGTACAAAAACTATACGTCTTTTGCTAGTAAAACTCAATTAAAGAATTATTCTTTGAAATTTATATCTGACTAATTCACTTCATCTCAAACTAAACATCTAAGTAATATGTTTCATTATAGTATATCTTCAAAACGAGATTAGCGAAAATAGTGAGATATATATCAAACGGAAGCTTAAGTTTTCTCTTTAAAAGTATATAAATTCCAGAAATTTAATGAATGAAAAAGTATATTTCATTTTTCCTGATGTTCATTCCACCTATGATTTTATTTAAAGATTAATCTGAGAGCTTTAATAAATAGGAATTACATGCGCTAAAATCAGGACGAATACAACCGAAATTCCTTTCATTGAAATTATTGACTTCTAGATGTGAAAGAGTATTTGGAGGTTTTAAATCTAGAAATTGTTTGCTGTTTCAGTTATGTTAGGGTTTAGTATAAGACCTCTCACACTTACATTTAAAGGTCTTAGTCTTAGTCTTAGGTCTTAGGGTTTAGTATAAGACCTCTCACACTTACATTTAAAGGTCTTAATTACCTGTATTTGCTGTTAGTCTTTGTAATGATGAGAACTACTTAGATTATTTCTTATTATTAAGAAGACAGTACCTCTTTGTCATTACCTATGTACAATAGTATGAAGATTTAAACAAAGATAATAGAGAATAATGAAAGGAATTTAAAAGTCAAAGATAATACTTATTTATTTATATATAACAAGATGTCAAACATAATTTGAACATGATATATAACTGAGAAGTGTCTATAACATAATTATCTTAATACACACATGTCAACAAGTTTCTTTAAATAAATTTTATTTATTGTAGTTGCAAATAATAGAATAAAATAAGTATTGAAATATATTTTATATTTGATACCGGTTATGAGTCAATTATTATATATATAGACCTATGTAGAAGGTTTTACAAAAGATTCATGACGCATATATAGCAAAAACAATTATAGCACATAGCGTCGTAATATTGAGATGAGATGATAATAAAATGATTATAAAAGACAGAAATATTGTTGGAATGAATTTATTATAATCTAGTAGATAATTTCATAGCATTTATTTTCAGAATATCATTTCCGGCATATATTCAGTGTAACTACGCGTCACATGATCCATTCGATCAGTTCAATTTTTGTCTTTTTGATTTTTTTTTGCAATTAATGTGACTGTATGGCATCAATGTTGTCATGAACTTTGGGTTCGAGTGCTTCAAGAGTTGCTCGTTTGAGATATTAAATCGCACAAACGAAGGGGCCAGTTTATAGGACCATTTCTGGAAATAAAGTTGTTAACAAATTGAATTCGTAATAAATCGATTGTTAAGCGCATTATACCTATGGGAAGTTGTGCTGCCTTGTTTCAACCAAATGTCATCGATGTTTAACTGATTAAGTTATGGAAACAAAAATTTAGTCAGCATAGCTTTATAGCGCTCGCTATTTACCGTAACGCAGTTCCTTACTCATTGCCGAAAAAATAAGGACTGATGATGTCGCAAGCGTGTAAACCGCACCAAATGGTCATTTTTAATGGATTTAATACGGATTCGCCAATGACTTCAACACTAAACATTGCCTAAGCTTCTTCGATATGAACTTCACGAACAGATATATTTTTTTCAAAGTAAATTTCCACAATTTGGAAGCCTTGTTATAGCGTTAACTGATTCATGATGAATAGCCAAACCTTACTAAACAGAAATGTTAACATAATTTGATATTCTCAGCTGTCGAACCAAGCTGTCAAGCTAAGAAAACACCCGATATTATAAAGAATAGCAGTAAAAGTAAAACAGATAGTTATTTAATATTTTTCAAGTGGTTTTAGAACATCATAGCTCCATATATAGATAGCCTCGTGTTTTATTTTATTATTATTTTGTTTTTTATATTTTATCTTTTTAATATTAAATTACAAGATAATAAACATTTGGTACTTAATATTTTCACCCATTTGTTGAGTTAGTCTTAATCATTCATTTGGTATGTGCTATAGTATATTTATAACTTTAGGTATATGGTATATAGATTGAAAAAATGTTATTTTTATTCTTGATTCGAAAGAGCTCATGACTTGGTAAATAGTGAATACTTGATATTAACAAAGTATTGATATAGTTTGAGAAGTAAAGATTCCACTAAAAAAATAATTGTCCTGTAAATGGACTTACTATGCTTTGCTCTGCGAGTTTGTGAACTGCTGCAGTAGTGTATAAAGCTTTGTAGTTACATATCTATAGTAGTATTACTATATTCTTATTGTCTTAATAAGATATAGAATTTTTGCAACTTGAAACTTACGATCAAAACTGAGACTTTTCAATCTGCCAAATGATCTTCTGAGACACAGATTAATGTACACTACGAGTATCCTTAAAATCACTCGAGTTTTCTGCACTTCACATTTTCTTATGTCTTCTTTTGGATTATCTATAAGCGATGTCGTGGTTTATTACAGTTTTATTTAAGGGACTTCACATATTTTTTAAGTACCAATACTTGAAGAATTTTTTATTGATATGCAAGAAATGAATCACACAAAAGTACCATAGAATGCGAATAAAATGTAAGTAAAAAAAATTACTTGAGCAAAAATTTATGAATTACAAAGTCAATAATAATAATACCATTATTATAAATATATAAATTCAATATATATACATTTATATATATATAATTCAATTAAATCAAGTCAGGTAGGAATGTGGTTCTAATGTAAGTAATTCATTACAATTTGATGAAGTCGAAACTGATATGGTGTATTTATTTTAAGCTTTAAAACTTTGTTAAAATTAAAAAAAAATACTTTATGAACTTATATTATTATATATGAAAGTTTTGCATATTTTTTATAATTTATTACCAAATACTTTAATTGTTATTTGTAAAAAATTTTTATCTTAATCCATTCATAAATTTTACAATAAAGCAACTAAAATGTGGTTGTAGAAATGGTTAGTAAGAGAAATGGTTGATATGTATGATTTTTAAGGCATTTAAATTTTTGGATCATTTTATATCTTCCATTCAATATAAATATATTTATGTCAAGAAGATAATTTAATGTTTTGTAATAAAATACTTAATGTACGTAAACGGTTCAGTTGGCACAATCACATACAAGTCAAAAAAAGTAATTGCGCCAAAACATTACAATGCTTAGAACCACTTTTCAAACACAATAACCCAGATAATTAGACCAGCACTACTTTATAGTTGTGTCGCGTAAGCAAAGCTACTGACTCTACTATCCAGAAGCTACATGTTGTTCAAAGTCAGGCTCTCCGAAGACGCTTCAAAGTGATATGGTACATCCGTACGAATGACATGCTAAGAGATCTTAGAATAGATCCGGGCAAAAAATATATATGGAACAGAGCCCTGAAGCTATATGCGAAAACCGACAGACTGCCCTACTTAACACTATCTAATCTTAGAGTAATCACGGGACGGTACGCAGACTTTAGATCAGTCATTGAGTCAGTGAGATGTGTGGGACTTTCCAGAAATCCTTTAGCTATCAAAGAGTAAAAGTGCCCAGATGCACTAACTCGGAAAATGCTCAACATTAAACAACATTTAATAAGATAATATTTAATTTATGAGCAAAATATTCGCTTGATGGAAACTGTGTAAGTATAAGAGACCGAGTAATCTTTTCTATTATTTATCATTGGGTAATGAAATACATATTCACATAATCTTACTTTCTTCAGAAAAAGTGTTAACTTTTTGGGAGATTTGCATTAAAAGTATTGGGATAATTTACGTACTATCGTATATATTCAAACAATTTTATTTTTTCCCGAAAAATAATAAACTTTTTAGGAGATTTTTGCATAATTTCAGTATAACAAGTATAATAAAACTGCTGATGCTTATAGGTAGATATATAAGTCGATATTAAGAGTAGTTTCGATGATTCCTTCTTTTAAACATTACTGACTCATCAAAACTGCCTCCAAAATTTTTTTAGAAAAAGAGTTATCAGAAATTTTATATAGTAAGGAGTTGGCTAATGTTGGCTTTTAGCATAATCAATGTAATATAACAGCGCAAGTCTATGGGTTGTTAGAAAAGATGTGTTGACTCGAGATAACTCTTCTCATTTACCAATTAAATATCAAGGTGTATTATGGCACTGTCTTGCAGTCTGCAAAAAAACAGCTAACTGAATAGACTTATTTATTGAAAAAAATTGATATTCTGGGTACATGATTGCATCTCGCATTGGCATATATCATGGGCGTTATTCGAGAGTCAAAGTTAAGTTCTTTGCTCGCGAAGTAGTAGAAGTTTCAGTGGACTAGGTGGATATTTTGTATTCTTTGCTCTTTACATTTATTTCTGGACTGCTACTACAATAGTCTTGGTTTTAGTACTGGATGATTTTTACTGTATTTATATAAGCTTGTAAATTTATTTCTACTATA